GCACAGGGGGCCCCGGAGGCCCTTGCTGGACTCTGGAGGTTAGAGGCCCGGTGGATGGGGCAGAGTCCGTGTAGCCCATGGCAGGCAACGCCCAGTTTCCCCAGTGGCGGGTCCAAACCGAGCAGCGGGCGTTGGCGGCGCTGATGACACAGGCGCGGACGCTGTGTCCCACGAGTGTGGACAGACACACAGGACCTGGTTATACGCTGCAGCACCCTGGATGCATGGCCCTCTCTGTCAGCCCCCCACGGCCACATGCAAAGCCACACACATTCTCTAGTGCTGGAGCTGCTTGGGGAGCTCCAGGCTTGGTGGCAGCTGGGCAGGGAGGGTGGGGCCCTGTGGACAGAGAGGCGGGCGAGGCCTTGAGCAGGGGAGCCAGGGTCAGCTGGGGGCACGATGCGGTCCATGCTGGGCGTGCTGGGGAGCCCGCTGCTGGCGGGGTCCCAGGCGCACCCCCTCCAGGTGCCCTCCTGGCATCCTCACGCTGCTCAGCCCCCCTCCCCTCCAAAGCAGAAAGCCTCGGCCCCTGACATGGTGTCCCCACCCCCAGTGCCAGGCCCAGCCCCTTAACCCTGCCCTCCATGCAAAGGATCACTATGGCCAGTTGTTTGCGGGGGGGGGGGGGGGTCTTTGTCTTAAATTACCCTCCCTTGTTGAAAGCTGGAATTTTCCCCTCACCATCCTTTTGGCCGCTTGATTTCCCAGAACATTCTCAGGCTTGCTGTTATTGTTCAGTTGCTTAGTCGTGTCCGACTCTTTGTGACCCCATGGATTACAGCACGCCAGGCCTCCCTGTCCATCACCCACCCCCGGAGCCTGCTCAAACTCATGTCCATCGAGTCGGTAATGCCGTCCAACCCTCTCATCCTCTGTCGTCCCCGTCTCCTCCTGCCCCAGTCTTTCCCAGCATCAGGATCTTTTCCAGCATTCTCAGGCATGGTCCTCCCCCTGTCTCCAGTCACGCCCCACCCTCTGGTCCAGGCAATCCTTATGGCGAGGGGTCAGGCCCCTAGTCCTGGGGCAGGTGAGGCCACAGGGCGGTGCCCACCCTGAAACGCTCTGCACTTGGGCATCACCGGAACACTGCCAGGGTGCTCTCCAATCACCGATGGCCTGGGCCAGCATGAAAACACGGGGTGGGAGCCCAGGCTTTCTCAGCCTCACAGCGCTGCCCACCTGCTGCCTGGTCCCTGCCCCTGCCAAGGCCCTGTCTCCTGCCTCTGGACCTTGGTCCCACCTGTCCCCTGGGCTGTGATGCCAGCCCCTCCTTCCACCACTGGGTGAGGGGGCATCTTGCTTTCTGCCAGCTCAGCCCTGGCCCATGCTGCTTGTGTCCTGCCTTGGGGTAGAGAGCCATCCGTCCCCCAGCTTCTAGAAGGTTCCAGCACCGACCCTGTCTCTGTTTCCCCAGGAGCCTTCTGATGGAGCGAGATGCCTTAAAGCCCAACTCCCCCCTGACTGCCAGGCTCATCCGCAAGGCGGCCGCCGTCCACCTCCTGTAGTGAGCCAGCCTGGCTGCCCGCCCCACAGGGCCTCCGTGGCCCTCAGACTGGCTGCTGCATTGGCTTCGTGGGGTTACAGGTGGCCAGGCCTGTAAAGGAGAAGGCCCTGTAACCATCAGCGTTACAGGAAGAAGGGGCAGAAATCAATTTTCAGCATGGTTCCAAATCTTCTTCTAATCCTTGCTCAAGGCCATGGTGCGGTTTCAAGCAGAGCCGAGGTGGGGGCTGCTGTTCCACTTGCCTCAAAAACTGTTTTCCCAGGGGACCCTGCCTTAAACCTCCCAGTTGTTCAAGGGTTGGAAGGCAGGGGTGGGGTGGTGGTGGGCTCAGCTCGGGGAGGGGAGTCTCCCACCCAGCCCTAGAGGCACCCCTCTCCCCACTCTAGGCTGCCCCTGGGATAAACCCCATCATTCTGCCTTCCTCTCCATATTCTGGAAAGGTTCTGTTGTCCCACCTTTTGGGTGAGGGTACCCATGGTGGGGAGTGACTTGCCCAGGGTCCCAACTAGTGGGGGCCCTGTGCCTCCTGGGAGAGAGGGGCCCCCACCTCAGTGCCTGGGCCCTCAGCCCTTCTGCTGTCTCTGCAAAGACGCCTGCAAGCTTCCCTTGGGGCTTTAGTGGTGCTGATTTGGGTTGATTTTCTCTTAATTCTAAACTGCACATTGTCAACCATGATTTTTAAAGTTTTTGCTTCACACGGGAGTATAGTTGGTTTATAATGTTGTGTTAGTTTCAGCAGCGTGGTTCAGTTACACATACGCACGTCTGCTATTTTTTACGTTCTTTTCCCGGTTAGGTTGTTAGACTGTGGAACAGAGCTCCCTGTGCTCTGCAGTAGGTCCTTGCTGATTATTTTTGTCAACCATGATTTTAACCATACGTATGCACACTCGTTGGTCTGCTGTGCCTTCTGAGGATTGAGGATTGAGCGCAGAGGCAGAAACCAAAGCCTTGTGACGTGGCTTTAACATGATACGAGCCAGTTTTACAATTGCTGCCTCTGTCTCCCTCCCCGAGGAGAACCCGGCCCTGACGTCCAATTCGGTGGTGCTGTGAGAGGCAGTCTCAGCCCACTGGTGTTTCTTAGGTTCCTTCAGTGCAAACTGAAATTAGGGTAGGGACTCACGGGGGCAGGGAGGGGGGCAGGTCTTCCGGGAGGCAGCAGACACCTCTAAATTGACTAGACACATTTCCTGGGATTAAAATAAACTAGTTAATTGGTTCCTCTGCCTGACTGTTACTGGGTGGGCACCTCTGAGCCTCCTCCATGTGCCAGGCCTGGGCTGGGTCCTGGGAAGGCAGGCTTCTCCTTGAACGTGGGGGTGGAGCAGGGCAGTGAGTCAAGAGCAGAGTCATTACAATGGGATTTCAAGAGAGATGCTGTCTGACCCCAGGAGCTAGCGACACGTCCCGAGGGGAGCCTGCCCACCCGTTCTGACCTGTCCCTCCCTGCCAGTTCCCCTGCTCACACCCCGTGTACCCTCCCGTCTCCTGGTTCCAAGCAAGCTACAGCCTGGCCAGGGGAGGAGGAACCCTGGCCCCCTCCTCCAGGAAGGCTTCCGGCCTCCCACTGCAGCCTGGGGCCCCACAGTCCTTGCTGTTGCACCTTTCTCCCCACCTCTGCCCTCCCCAGGTCAGGGACAACATCTGTGTCCCAGCATCACCCAGCATGGAACCCGCCCCGACTACCTGTCAGTGAACCCATGACTGGTGAATGAGCCCTTGAATGAGTGCATTACAAAATGAAGCAGAATCCTACTGGGGACAGGAAGAAAAGAATCGACAGTGGGTAGGCCATTGACAGAAGAGAGGAGGGGCCCAAGAGAAGAGATGGATGAAGGTAGAATTCGGTTAGCTGCCATGAGTTATTAACAGTGTGTTCACTGACCAAGTCTCACGTGCTGACATGATACAGGGGGAGGGGCATCGGGAGTGGGTGTTTGGGGACCCTCGCCCCCAGCAGACACCCCCAGGGCTGTGTGGATCTGACACCTGGCTGAATACCCCTTGAGTCTAGGACCCACTGGGCTCTTGCCGCCGTGGCCCTGTGGTCATGAATTAGGCAAAGCCAGGCCTTGGGACTGTGGACTAAGCACACGCAACACTAAGCCGGCCACTGTCTTCAGGAAGCCCTGGCAGGCAGACGGCAGCCAGGAGCCCCTGGATGGGTGGGCTCAACAAAGCCTCCCGTCGGAAGCTGAGCAAGACCCAGAGAGGCTGCTGGGAGACAGTTCGACTTAGTGCCCTCCTTCAAGCCCCTCTCTCCATCCACACCTGCAGCCAGGGCTGCTCCTGGACTTCCAGTTCCAGCCAATAAATTCTTTTTCTGAAGCCAACTTGAGGCTGGTCTTCTGTTACTTGCAACCCCGAGGCTCGTGACCAGTATCTGAAGCTGGGATTTGCCTTGGGTCTGTCTGGCCCCATCTCTCTTCTCCAGTTAAGTAGGATCCTGAACAGATGATGGAACTCAGAAGGGAGCCGGTGGACAGAGGCTCAGGGAGGGTCAAGGGGGTGGGTATCCAGCACATCAGAAGTGAAGGGGACCGCAAAGAGCGAGGCTGAAGGCTGCAGAGGGAGCCCCTAAATAGGAACGAGGTGTCAGGGTGGCCCAGGGGCAAACACTAGGGTGTCTGGTCACCCAGAGTCACCGGGCGCTCCGCGGGCAGGGACCGGGTTTTCTTACCCCCAGCACGAACCCGCAGTGGTCTACAAAGCGGGCATACGCACCTATTTCCTACTATGGGATTTGGATCTTCATTTAAGGATGAAGATCCGGTGTCGGAACCATGTCCCACGCGACACGTAGCTGTCCTGATGCCGAGCCTACCCAGCGAGCCCTAAGGTACCCAGCGAGCCCTAAGGTACCCAGCCCCGCGCGGCCGGGCTCTGGCCGGACGTCTGGCACGCGCAGCGAGCCGAGCAGTGCGCACGCGCGCCGCGCTCCTTTTCCTCCCCGCCCCCCTGCGGCTCCGACTACAACCCCCAGGGTGCACCGGGACCCGCGGTCTTTCAAACCGGCCAATCAACAGCCCTCAGCGCTTCCTGCGCGCCGCGTTTAAACCTAAGGCGCAGGCGCGTCGGCCGGGTGTCGCGGCGGCTCTGGGGTAAGGGGGTCGCCGGGCGACTGGGGTGCGGCTGTGTGAGTGGGCGGCGGTCAGGGGTCCTCGGAGGGTGGGGTCGGGCCAGGTCGGGCGTTCGGGCCGGGGGCGGCGGGGCACCCCTCCCGCGCTCCGGCGAGGCTGAAGGAGGTCTTCTTCAAGCCGAAGACCCCTGGCGTGAAGCCCAGCCGGGGAGGTCTGGTTGTCGAGGTCCGGGGCCCCCGTTCGGGCCTGCCTCGGACGGCGCCGGCCCGGAGGCGAGCGGGCCAGGGCGGAGGGTCTTGGGCTGCTGCCGCGGTGGCCTCTGCCGGTCTCGCGGCCTCTCCCTGACCCAGTGGCCTCTCCCTGACTCGCCCTCTCTTGCCCAGCCGGTGCTACAGCGGCGCGCGCGTTGGGGGCTTCCCTGGGGGGCTGGAGGAACCCGGGCTCCGACCCCCGCCCCGCTTCTGCCTCCTGCTCCTTGCTGTGACCTCTGACAACCCTGGCCGCGGAAGGAAGGGGCGGCAGCGAGGTGCCTTCAGCCTGCCTGGCCCCCTCAAGAAGCGGAGATGGAGGCTCCCAAGAAGGAAGGTACGTCCTAGTCTCCGCAGCGCTGTCGGCCGGGGGGTCTCAGGGAACACGCAGGTCGATTTAATGCTCCTGAGAGAACTGGCTCGTTTATTTATTCAGTACTCATCCCGTTCTCTGTGCCCCAGTAAACTCCCTGTCTTCCCGGAGTTTTTGCATTCCTCTAATTTGTTTCTTTTCCGGGTATTCTTCATTCCCTTTACCCCCCATTTGTGACTTTCCGCGGAGCAGGGATTCTTCTCCGTTCTGTATACTTCAGTGTCTGCAGAGCCTGACACACTCCATAGGCACTGAGGTCTGTGGAACTGATGCCTTTTGGCTGGTCGCTGGTGTCCGTTTGCTGAGACTTGTCCAGGATCTTTGCCTGCACATCCGCGAGACGACCTGGCCTGTAGCCGTGCTGTCTTGTTCCGTTCCTGTTTGCTGTGAATGTAGAAGTGAGAGCACAGCCTCACAAAAGGAGTTAAGGGCCCTGCCTTCCTTTTCTGCTGAAGCGTGGGGACATCCTTTATATCCTTTGTCTTCATGACATGTGTGCGAGTCAGGGAGACTGGGGACCCCTGTTTCTCCTTAACACCCCCATTCTGCACAAACAGCCCCAAGACTGCCAGTATCAGCGCTGCTTCCTCGGGTCTAGAACAGCGTTTGCTGCTGCATCCTGTCCTCCACCCTCGCCTAGACGCCCTCCCTTTCCAGTCCCTTGCACGTGCAGCTGAATCCCTGTTGCTGCTTCCTGAGGGCTTCACCTGTCTGTCATCCATCCTTTATATCTTTCTTGTCTGTTTGTTCATGCTCATCACTGATGTACAAATAGGTCCTGTTGTCTGACTTGTTGCTCCACACCCTGTCCACTGCTGTGGGCCTCATTTAGAGCCAGACTTCAGAGCAAGAACTTTCTCCACTTGTTTCGCTGTTTTTTTCCACAAACTTCAACCCCTCCGAACCCTCTCTGCCCTCTCACTTCACCCACACTGCCTTTGTCCGTCACTGAGCACATCTGTGTTGTGAAATCCATGGTCATTTTTTCTGTCTTTTCCGTGACTTTTGGCCTTCTCTCCTACGGGAAACTTGGCCAGCTTGGCTTCCTGCTTTTCCTTCTGCACACTCTGGCCGGTATATCTCCATCTTTTTGCAGGCTTCTCGTTCTGTCCCACCTTCCGAAGTTGAGCTCCCCAGGACCTGGTCTGGGGTCTCTTTGAATTCCCCTTCCCCTCCTACAGGTCCTTTAAATCCTTTCACTTTAAATGGCTTTAAATCTTTCTGCTTTAAATGGCTTTAAATTCTTCCACCTTCTGGTGCTGCCCACGTTTTGTCTGGAGCACAAACTCTCCTCTAAGCTCTGGGCTTGTGCATGCACCTGGCTGGCTGGCGTCTTCACGTGAATGTCTCCCACCTCTTACTCAGCGGGTCCCCCATTCTTGGCAGGTTCTTTGTCTTTGTGAAAAGTGAAAAGAAACTCAGTCACTCAGTCCTGTCCGGCTCTTTGTGACCCCGTGGATTGTACCCCACCAGGCTCCTCTGTCCATGGAATTCTCTGGGCAAGAATTTGGGAGTGGGTGGCCATTTTCTTCTCTATTGTCTCTGTAATAGAAGTCAATTGCCTGTCCATTCACCCAGCTGAGAAAGTTATGAAGCATTTGTTCAGTCATCAATTACTGTCATTTCCACCATATATTTTGGATCCATCTACGTCTTTCCAGCTCCACCCAAATGCCACCACCTTGGTCTCAGCCATAGTAATTTGCCTCCACCTACATGTATATTTTGCACTTTAGCCAATGTGTGCACTGTAATTTCAGTAGATACCACCTGCTTCTTTTCTAGCACATCCACCAGGGTAGCCTTTTAAAAACAAAAGTTAGAGTACAACAGTCTTCTGCTTAAAACCCTTTGGTAGGTCCCATTGCACTCTGAATAATCTAAAAGCTTGCCATGGCTTGGACGCCACCCAGGATGTGACCTGACCTGTGTTTCCACCTCCTCCTGCCAGTGGCCTCAGAGGTGTCCCCACATCCCGGTGGCCCCTCCTCGCACTGCCTTTCACGGTGTGTGCGGAGCGCCTCGCAGAGGACGCAGCCCGTGTTTGCAGAGTGGATGAATGGGACAGCTCACCCAAGTCTCCTTGAGCTGGTGGCGGAGCCTGGCATGGAAGGCTTTTCCCCTCACTCCTGGCCCAGGATTCCTTTTCCCACAGCAGACGTTTGGAATTTTCTGGTAGTGACCCATGAAATTGACTTCCTAGGTTTTAGACCCATTGAAAAGTGAGAAGTCCATCTCCTTCTCCTTTCTGTCCCTCCGCTGCCCGGTTACCACCTCCAGAGACCACCGATCTCCTTGGTCTCCTGGGCAGTCCAGACCTGACTTGTGCACGTGCAAGGTAGTACCTGTCAGTCCAGACCCCCTCTTCTATAGCATGTAGAACCCTAGGTACCACCTTGGGTTTTGCCTCTAATTTATCTTGATGAGCTCTGTGTATCAATATAGGAAGTGTTACTGTTCTTCTCTGAGCCCAAGTCATGTTCCGTTCCACTGTGGGGATGTGCTGTCCGCCTACCTGCCATCCGGGAACTCTAACTTAGCTAGTGGCTGGTATCTTGCTATTCCAAGTGCAGTAAACCGGGTGGGGTCCTTGACAGCAGTAGGCGTCCCGTCAAGGTGTGTGCGTGTCTTTCTTGGTGGGTACTGTCAGGCTACCCTCTGTAGAGCTGCAGTAACTTACAAACCAAACTTTCAGATTTTTAACAATCATAGCAATGAAAACTGGAGTCCTGGGAATCTCTGAGTTTCTCGTTGCTCTTGTTTTTGAGTGCGACTGAACTGGTCATATGTTTCAGAACGTTTCATTTTATCTCCTGTGACTTCCCTCTGTGCATGTCCTTTGCCCGTTCTTCCTCCCGTGTCAGCCGTTTGCCTGCAGTCTGTAGGAGTGTTCACCAGCAGCCCTTCATGATGTGAGCCGCGTGTGTTCCCTTCCCTGTCTGTTGTTCCTTCTAACTTTGCTCGTGGTGGTTTTTGTCATGCAGAGATGTTAGTGTTTAATATATTGGACTATCAACCTGTTGTATTATGGCTTCCAGCTTGGTGTCAGACCTCCACACTCCAGGCTATACAGGGATTTCCCCATGGTTTCTTGTTCTTTTGGAGTTTCGTTTTTTTCAGTTAAGTCTTTGACCTTTTTGGGATTTGTCCTGGTATGGTCTGTGAGCTATGGCTCAAACGTCAGATGCATGTATTTCTCCCTCTCAAAGGGTTGTCTAGTTTGTCTCAATACCATTTATTGAATAATGCATTTTCCTCTTTTACTTGATATGTTACTTTTCTGATATACTAAACTTTCTTTAGATCCATCTTGCATACTTCTTGTTAATTCATAGGTGTTTTGCATTTTTTGGTGCTATAGTAAATGAGGTCTTTTCTTCCATTATATCTTCTGTTCTTTTTAGATATGAAAGCTGTTGATTTGTTGTGTAATAATTTTGTCCTCAGATGTTTGCTTTTGCTCTTTCACAATTTATAATAGTTTTCAGTGGATTTTCTTGGTATTTCTTGTATGTAGTCATAGCATCTGTCCATCGCAGCAGTTTTAACCGCAGATTCTTTCCTTCTGTTCACTTGTTGGTTAATGTTGCTCAGTGTTGACTTAGGCAGACTTTTAACCACTGGGCCACCAGGGAGTCCCCAGTTCATTGCACTTTGAGAAATATTTGCTAAATGTCCAGACCTTGAGGTGGACTTTGGGGAGCTTGGGAGAGAACTAGACACTTACTGTTTTGGAGGAGCCTCCAGGCTAGTTGGGGCCACAGAAGGTTGAGACACTCTTACAGGATGGGGATGCTGAGGCAGAGGTCGGGTCCGAGGCTGTGGGACCCCAGGGAGCCCTAAGGGGGCGGGCGGGGAGCAGTGGCCCCAGCCCAGGGGTGTGCTCCCCCAGAGGCCCCTGGGCCGTCAGGGCTGGCGAAGGCCCTGTGTACACAGGATGTCAGCAGCGGTTTATGGTTTATCGGGACGGGCTCCAGGGAGAGATGATGGACCTCAGGTGTGCGTGGAGCCCATACTCTGCCTGTGAGGAGCATTAAATTTGCTTTTGAAAGAGGACTAGGTGTAGTCTGTAAATGGGGAGTTGGGGAGCTGAAGCAGGTGGTCTTTTGAAAATGTTCTGTACCAGAAAATGACTGAGCGAGTCTTACAAAGCTAATCGAATGACTCAGTGAGTGCACTTTAGATCATGTCTTTAGGGCTTAAAAACAAGGACTTGGGCTTTGATGGCAGCTTAGCGAACACAGAATGGTTGATGCTATTTTTTTTTTAAGGAAAAATTACGATAATCTAGAGCTCCTTGAGAAAATGTGATTATTACAATACTGATGTCACACTTGGAGAAGTGAAATTTGAGAAGAGTTTTGATCGCTGTGGAGACTGGTGATGTTTTCTCATTATCAGCCCACCCCTAAGGTAACGGTTGACTTTTTCCTCCCCAGACATTCTTCTGTTGGCTGATGAAAAGTTTGACTTCGACCTTTCGTTGTCTTCTTCAAGGTAAAAAAGATGAGTTTTCTCCCCTTGCTTTGGTGTAACCACGTTCAGTCAAGTCTTTCATGTAAATGCCAGTTTGTTGTTAATCCTTTTCTTTTAAAATAGTGCCAATGAAGATGATGAAGTCTTTTTTGGACCTATTGGCCATAAAGAAAGATGTATTGCTGCCAGCTTAGAATTAAATAATCAAATTCCCGAAGAACCTCCTTTGCCAGCTTCTGAAAGACACTTCACCTGGAGTCCACTCACAGGGGAAAAGTTTGTGGAAGTTTATAAAGAAGCTCACTTACTGGCCTTCCAGATACAAAGCAACGGCAGAACCAAGGCGGCCCAGGCCGCCCAGCCCGAAGACCCTGGGAGCCAGGGAGTGGAAAGATTCATACAGGAGTCAAAACTCAAAATAAACCTCTTTGATAGAGAAAACGAAATGAAGAAAAGCCCCAAGTCACTTAAGCGGGAGACGTACTGCCTGTCGGACGGCCTCTGGAGGGCACCTCTGCTCCGGGGCACTCAGCCCGCCTCCAGCACAGCCCTGCCAGCCTCTCCTGCCCAGGCCAGCTGCCCCGAAACCTCGGGGATGCCACCCGCCTCGTGCCCTTCTCTGCCAGCAGAGACCAGTGCTGCTCAGCCTCCAAACCAGGCCGGGGCTCAGAAGAAGGTTGCCAGCAAGTTGCCGCCACCCCGAACCTCGTCCCTTCGAGGAAAGAGCCTTCACTCGGCCATGGAGAAGGTAGCCCCCCCCCCCCCAGCCCCACCAGCACTTTTATCTGAGGATCAGATGCTGCCTTGCTTCCGCGCCCTGTGGGATTATGCCCTGGAACAGACCACTGTGGGGGGAACCTGGGAATGTCTTGCTCGGAGGGAGGGCTCTGAGGTGCAGGCGTGGGATGTTTAGAAGAAGCTATGTCCGTGGCGTTGGGAGCCAGGCCGGGGTGGCGTGGGCAGGGCTGCGTCCCTATTGTGGTGACTCAGGGACACCTCCTCTTCCATTCCGTTTGAGATCTTCCCTTTCGTTTTGTTACAGCACTGGACATTCCCCCTCGCCAACCTCCCCCAACCCCCCGTTAGGGATTTTAGGTGCATTAACAAGCAGCTTCTTCCCCTAATCCCCCTCCTGGATGGCCATGAGTCTCCCTCTGAACCGTGACTGTGTTTAGATTGCCTTCCTCCCAGGCATGAGTGGAGGCGCTGCCCTGGGATGTGGTGGGGGACACGTGTGCCTTTGGGGTGCGGCCAGCCAGCTCCAGGAAGCTGGGGGTCCTAGTGGCTCATGGGTAGCAGGATGGGGTCAGGCTGTGGCCGCCTCCTGGGTTTGCCTCACTGGCTCTGAGCTCAGGGTGGGGCGGTAGCCCAGGGGAGGCAAGGGAGCAGCCGGGAGCCTGCCCTGCGCCGTCCCCAGCTCCACGGCCCTGGCCGCCAACTTTGGCACTCCCAGCCAATTAGAGAGATGCTTTGCTTTGCAGGGCTGTCAGCAGAGTTAGGTCAGTGCAAAACACCCAGCACAGGCAGAGAAAATCTGTTTCCCTCCGCAAGCACAGCTTCTGAGCCCCATGACTTCCTGCTAGCAGAACCCAGAATTGAACTGGGCTGGCCGGGGTCTGCACGGAGACCCTTCGAGGGGGCACGTGGCCTCTGCTTCCCCAGGGCTGAAGCTGTCATGTAGTCATGCAAATGCCTCTTCCTGGAGATCGTTTGGATGTACATTTCTGAAGTGACTTTTCCAGAATGACAGCAGCGTGGGTCCATGTGCACCACTGAACTTGGGCCTGGATTTGTGTGTGTGACACATAGACTCAGGGCTGGGGGTGTGATGTAATTTCAACTGTTCTGTGCTTAGTCGCTCAGTCATGTTCAACTCTTTGTGACCCCATGAACTGCAGATCACCGGGCTCCAGAATACTGGAGTGGGTTGCCATTTTCTTCTGCAGGGGATCTTCACGACCCAGGAATCAAACCAGGGTCTCCTGCATTGCAGGCAGATGATTTACCAACTGAGCTATGAGGAAAGCCCAGGATGGCTGTAGTGAGAATTAAAGAACAAAGTAAGTGTTGATGAGGACGTGGAGAAATTGCGTCCCCGTGCATTGCCCATAGGGCTGTGCAGTGGTGCAGCCACAGTGGAAAAACAGTTGGGCGGTTCCTGGAAAAGTTAAGCTCAGAATTATCACATGATCCAGCAATTCCACATGTTCCACTTGGGCATATTCCCAAGGAAATTGAAAACATATGTCCACACAGAAACCTGTGTAGCACTGTTGAAAGTAGCTTCATTCATAATAACCAAAAAGTAGGGATAATCGAGATGCCCACCAGCTGATGACTGGATAAGGGAAATGCGATCTGTCCATGCAGTTGGGATACTTTTGGCTGTGAAGAAATGCTGGAGTGACACGCGATAAACATGGGTGACCCTGGGGAACATAGTCAGGAAGAAGCCAGACGCAGAAGGTCCCATGTTGTACTGTCTCACTTACAGGAAGTGACTGCAGCAGGCGAGTTGTGTCATGCTCTGGAGATGGTGGATCCGTGGACACCTGGCTGGGAGGTGCAAGGAGTGCTGATGGCCAGGAGTTGCTTTTAGGGGCAACAAAAATGTTGTCAAGGGACACTGTGGTAGTATTGTAAAGGCCACTGAAGTATACACTTTAAAATGGTGGACTTTAACTTACGTGAAGCATGTCTCAATATAAAAAATGATGGAAAAGAGAAAGACAGTTACTGCTTTATGAGCTTCTTTTGCTTCTTACGAACTCTTCTTGGTATGAGGGGTTATTTATGGAAGCATGAATTACTTCCACAAACGCCCTTGTACCTAGACGTGAGGAATTTATTCTTTGTTGGGCTCTGCTCGCTGAAGAAAAATGCCCTTCGGTACTAGATGAAGATTTATTGCAACTGAGCAGCTCGTCTGGTAGAGGGCATGACCATTTAATGAATGATTCCTTTCCGTGCGGCACTTTAAAATTTGTGTAACTAGATCCAGTTTCCTCATTATCACCCTTAAATAAGAATCCTGATTGAGAACTAGCCCTAGAGGAGTTCTCTCCTATTAATGGTCTGTCTCGGTATTATTTTACCCTGTTTTTAATGAGGAAGCAGGCTTCATCATCATTTTTTTCTGTGGTAATTTGGCGGAGGAAGTGAACCGCTATATTCTTTTCTCTCCCGTTGATGAATTGAGGACTGCATGTTGGGAAGATGGATGGTGCCTGCCCTCTAATTGAAGCCTTCGTGTGTCTCTACATTGTGAAAGACTAGACAGTTCTCACATTTCAAGTTACAATTTTTCAGCCTGCGAGAGAGAAACCAGCTAGTCCTCCCGGGATGAAAATCCAAGATGAAAAGGACGCCCATGGCAGCATGCCCCCGGACAAGCCCAGCACCGCCCGGGACGTCGCCAGCCTGCCCGCCAGTGGGAGCCACCTGGTCCCAGGCAAGCGGTCGCTCCCAGTTCCAAACAAGGTGGGTTGGCCGGGGCTGGGGCAGTGGGGATTGGCCTGTGAGCGCAGGGAGTAAGGGGCAGCTTTGAGGATGTGGGACGCGTCTGGACCAAAATCAAGGTTTAGGAGGTTGAAGACAGGATCCAGGAGGGGCAGCATGGTAAAATGCAGGGCACGCGGGCCTGGCCCACGTGAGGGCCTGGCCACTGCCCCTGGGGAGCTGTGGGCACCGCGGAACGTCAGCCCCCCGACCCCCAGCTGACATCAGGGTGTGACGGCAGAGATGCCCCTGCTTCCCTCGCGGGGTTGGTGCGCCGAGGAGACGGGCTGTCGGTGCTTTGAAAACTACAGCTCCTCACAGGCGTGGAGGCTACCGTCCTTGTCTTTGCCATTTGTTTCCCAGCGCTGAGCTCTGTGAGCTTGTGAACGTGCCACGGCCCTGGTGGTGCTTGCTAAGCTTGCCCACACTGGGCCCTGCAGCTGTCGACTGCACAAGCTAGGGTCCAGGCCCCACGCCTGCGGTCAGCAGCCCCCAGCACTCCTCTCACAGGGAACCTGGCGGCCACGCCGGGGAGCACTGCTTGACCTTACTCTGATTCGGGATGGTAACTTGCAGACTGTTGAAAACCCCGACTTCTGCAGAAAGAAGTCTTGGGTGGGTAATGAAGTCTCTGTTTTAGTCCGGGCCGAAGAAGACCATGCTGAAGCCACCTGGATGCGCTGGTGGCCTGGCGGGAAGGTGCTCGTCGGGGTCTGTCTCGGGCCTGAGCTCCGCTGTCTGTGCTTCTCCTGCGGCTGGCAGAGGTAAGGCCGGCCCTGAGCGCCTTGTTCCTGCCAGACTCCTCACAGAACGGCTCAGCTCAGCCGCAGGTTCTGGAAGGCTTGCTGTGGTCTGGGGCAGGGAGACTGCTGAGGCCTCCATCCCCAAGGTGCCTGCCCTCCTCCGAGGAGAGGCAGTTAGGCGGGTGGTCTAGTTTCGGCTGAGTTAAGCTGTCACAGGTGGCTCTGTAGGTAAAGAGCCCGCCTGCCAGTGCAGGAGATGCAAGACGTGGGTTCCATCCCTCGGTTGGGAAGAGCCCCTGGAGAAGGAAATGGCAACCCACTCCAGCATTCTTGCCTGGGGAATCCCACGGACAGAGGAACCTGGCGGGCTGCAGTCCACGGGGTTGCTGAGTCAGACACGACTGACCACAAGCTGTCATAAGGTAGGCACGCCCTTCTGGTGCCCGAGGACCCGGCATAGTGCTGAGACCAGCCTCAGCCACCTGATCAAACATAGGTTTTTTAAAAGTAGGGATGTTCCAGATGGTGTAGGGCGTAGGAGCCGTAACTCTTGGTTGTTTGTTTAAATCTGTTCAAACCTGTTTCAATTCAGGTGACTTTGCTGTCTTTCCAAGCCAAGGGTGCCATCTACTGGCAAAGGGGAGAAACCCTAGGAGGCTGTGGGGAAGGCACGCGGCCTCCTGCTCTCAAGGACTAAAACCTCTTCCAAGCAGGTTTGCTGTGCAGCCTCTAAGCCGGGCAGGAAAGCCTGCGTTTTGTACACAAACGTGAGAAGTCTCCTCTGGAGCGAGGCTGGTCCGATCTGGAGTCCCGGCCGCCTGGGTGGTTAGGAGAGCTGAAGTTACGTCTGTGCCTTTACAAACCAGGGGGGTGGCACCGCCCTCGCAGTGCCCCTGTGGGCCTGAGGACCACATGATGCCCCAGCCCTGTGTCTGTCATGTGGCACGTGTTCAGGGAAACGAAGTTTTGTTACATTAGGCGCTGTGAATCCGGCCGTGTTGGTTCAGGCATCAGCACCAGTTCTGTCTATGATTTCTGATCCTGCCTCTGGGAAAGGTCGAGACAGGCTGGGGGGGCCTTGTGGTGAGTGCGTGTTTCTCTGTTTTCCATGGCAAAAATCCCCAGGGTCAGCTCAGACAGTGTTGAGGGGAGAATGTCGTGAGCCTTAACATGATGTGTGACGTGGGCTGTGGTTTAGTCCTTCTGCTGAGTTTCTCTTTAAGAACCTTTCGCCAGGTTGGCCTCCGTGCTGGCTGTATTGGCAGCTGAGTATTTTCACCCAGCTCATTTAAATAGTGCTGGTGACTGACAGGACCCAGCCTCCCTGTGGCGGAAAGGAACTGACCAGTAAGGCGCATCTCTCTCCGTGTTGCCCCGCCCACACCCCTGATTGGCCAGATGCAGCATCTGACGAGACTGTCCGTCTTCACCTGCTCAGCTAGGATAGAGTTCTGCTGTCAACCTAGTCAGGACAAGAGAGCTTCAGTTCATGCATCCTTATACATCTTGGCTATCATGTCTAGAATCACACTCAGCTAAGCCACAAGCAACCCGGGTTGTCCCGTGTTTGAGGATGTTGCCTGGTGCACATGCAGAATATTTTTCCTATGTCGTATTTTTTAATATGGAAATCAGCATGATAGAAATAAGTCGTTTTCTTTACCACATTCTAAGGTAGATATGCTAAAGGTACCATATCTTGTGTGTGTGTGCGTGTGTTAAATAACTTCATCATTTAAACACAACATCAGCTTGAGTGACAGCCAGATTTCCTGTCTCCTCTTCCAGCTAAACCAAGTGAACGTCCAGGCATCTCTGCAGACAGTGCCCGGTCAAGCTCCAGCCAGACGGGCAGAATGGGGCATGGCCTGCCACGGCCGTCCCTGAAGGCGGGCCCCGGGGGCATGGCCTGCAGGCAAAGCCAGAGGCCAGGGGCTGCGGAGCGGCCTGCGGAGCAGCCCAGGGGGCCCCCCAGAGCAGCCCTCCCCCAGCCCCAGACCCCGGACCAGGGAGGCCCTGGGCCGAGCTCTCACTGTGGTTGGCCACAGTCTTCTGAAAGGGACAAGACTGGGGGCACAGTGAGGCGCGGTTCCCGCCTGAGCTCCAAGGCAAAGGCTGTGCCTGCCCCTGCGGATCAATTTAGAATTCCCAGGCTTTCCACTGGTAAGTCACAGATACGCTTTAACATGGTTTAAAATAGTGAACAAGTTATGTTTACAGTTCAAATAGTCATCAGTTTTGGTCATGGTGGTTGCTATCATTTTCATAAAGCATTTTCTGTGTCTTCTCATTTTTGTAGGTTTGGATAAGTTAGTGAGTTTCTTAAATTACTCCCCTCTGTGTGAACACATCGTTGCTCCGTGGCTGCTCTTAAGATTTTCTGTTGGTATTTTCAGGGTTTTGGTTACTAACACATTTTCGTATGGCTTTCTTTGTGTTCATCCTGCTTGGGCGTTCCTGAGCTCCTTTGTTCTGTGGGTGGATGTTTTTAATTGGACCTGGGGAAGACGTGGCCGTTGTTTCTTCAGACGTGTCTTCTCACCCCTTCGCGGTCCTGGGACTCCAGTCGCTTGGACCAGAGGCTCCTCATGTTGTCCTCTGGTCCCTCAGGCCCTGCCCCCGCCTCCTCTGGTGCTTCTGTTTGGCTCGTTTCTACTGGGATGTCTCCACGTGCACGTGTCTGTTTTCCCCACAGTGTGTCTAATCTGCTCGTAAGTCCATCCAGCTAAATTTTCATCTCTGGCCTCAGAGTTTCCCCTTTCATTGTCCTCATGGTGTGTGTTTTCCTGTGAATTCTTGAACACATCTGTAATGGTTGCTCTAAAGTCTCTTTGTTCTGATTCTATCCTCTGTATCATTTTGGGCCTGTTTCTATTGACTAATTTTCTTTCTGGTTATGGTCACATTTTCCTGCTTCTTCACATGTCTAATGATTTTTTATTGTCTGCTAGACATCATAAATTTTCTGCATGTCTGGACTTGGTTGTCTTTCTTTAAGGAATTGAACCTTGCTTTGACAGGCAGTTAGGTTTCAGGAGAACTCGATCCTTTCAAGGCTTCCTTTAGAGCTTTGATGGTGGGGGAGGTCTCGGCCTTTACTCTCGGGACAGTTCAGCCCTGCCACTGAGGTGTGGCCCTCCCGAGCCCCTTCTGTCTGTGCTGTGTGTCCCCGAGGTGTCCCCTCTGGCCAGCTGCTGGGCGTGTTTCTGCCCTGTGACGAGGCGGTGGGCCTGGCGCTCACTGCACAGCTGGGACTTGGGGTCCCTCTCTGGCTCCTAGAGCGCCTTCTCTCTCTAGTCCTTTCTTCTCTAACTCCCTCCTCTCCAGTCCTTTGCTGCTGCCAATTCCAGCCTCCTCGGGCGCTCCCACTGCCGCAGTGTCTGCCGGGGCCACCGAGCAGAAAGCCCCGTGTGGTGTCTGGCAGGTGCGGCATCTGGTCAAGGTGAGTTCATCTGAGGAACGTGTGTCATGCAGGAGGCTACACAGTGCTGACGAAGGGCCGGGGTGGTTCTGGCCTCCTCTCTCAAGCATGTGCTGTCTAGCAGCTTCAGGATCTTGAAGTCGTCAGCTTTGCTGACCAATTCAGGGAGCTGTTAACACCGGAAAAGTTCACTAGAGTTCCTGCTCATGTGAGAATGAGCCGCTCTGGGCCTTGTCTGGTGCACAGGCTAAGATTCTGTGCTTCCACGGCAGGTGGTGCAGGTTCAATCCCTGCTCGGGGAGCCCCCCCACCCCCGCAGCCCCCCTCCCCCCACCCCCGCTCCAGAGAAGGAATGAGCTGTGGGTGGAGTGTTGTCCATTGTGCGGCACTCTCACAGGTACGAGGGACATCATGGTAAGATAGCTCCTACTGATGGAACTTACATTTTTCTAGTAAAAGATAAGAAATGCAGTCAGATAAGTGTACTGTCAGATCGTAAGTATCAGTTCAGTCGCTCATTCCTGTCCGACTCTTTGCAACCCTATGAATTGCAGCACGCCAGGCCTCCCTGTCCATCACCAACTCCCAGAGTCTACTCAAATTCATGTCCATTGAGTCGGTGATGCCATCTAACCATCCCATCCTCTGTCGTCCCCTTCTCCTGCCTTCAGTCTTTCCCAGCATCAGGGTCTTTTCAAATGAGTCAGCTCTTCACATCAGGTGGCCGAAGTATTGGAGTTTCAGCTTCAACATCAGGCCTTCCGATGACCTAATCTCCTTTAGAATGGACTGGTTGGATCTCCTTGTGGTCCAAGGGACTCTCAAGGGTCTTCTCCAACACCACAGTTCAAAAGCATCAATTCTTCGGCCCTCAGCTTTCTTTACAGTCCAACTTTCACATCCATAGCTGACTGCTGGAAAAACCATAGCCTTGACTAGACAGACCTTTGTTGGCAAAGTAATGTCTCTGCTTTTTAATATGCTATCTAGGTTGGTCATAACTTTCCTTCCAAGGAGTAAGCGTCTNACCTTTGTTGGCAAAGTAATGTCTCTGCTTTTTAATATGCTATCTAGGTTGGTCATAACTTTCCTTCCAAGGAGTAAGCGTCTTTTAATTTCATGGTTGCAGTCACCATCTGCAGTGATTTTGGAGCTCATAAAAATAGTCTGACACCGTTTCCACCCTTTCCCAATCTATTTGCCATGAAGTGATGGGACTGGATGCCATGATCTTAGCTTTCTAAATGTTGAGCTTTAAGCCAACTTTTTCACTCTCCTCTTTCACTTTCATCGAGAGGCTCTTCAGTTCCTCTTCACTTTCTGCCATAAAGGTGGTGTCATTTGCATATCTGAGGTTATTGATATTCCTCCCAGCAATCTTGATTCCAGCTTGTGCTTAATGGCATGAATAAAAGAAGTTGGAAGACAGTTTAGGCAGGTTCTCTCAGCTTGTTGGTCAGTGCAGGCTCCCTCAGGTGGAGGCCTGAAACGTGTGGACTCGGTGTCTGAGAGGTAACCACGTGGAATGCTGCCAAGGACAGGTTGTGGGGCGTTTTCATCATAGGGCACCCAATAAGAAACCAGCAAAAGGCGGAAGCAGTTCTCAGCCCTCAAGGCGGGGTGGGAGGGTGCTGCAGGGTGCTGGGCTGTGTGCTGTTCTTAAACTCGATGCCAGAAACCCTGGGGGCCAGGCGGCCGTGTGGACTGGGGTGGGAACCCCAAGGGAGCCGGGCTCCAGTCGAGGTGTCTCAAGAAGTCTCAGAGACAGAAGGCAAGCACCTCAGGAAACAGGTTGGAGGTGGGGTGGCCTTTACCCTGTGTTGTCTGTTTTTGGTGCGGGAACCACTTTGATAAGATCAGCTTCTACAGGGAACAGGAGGTGGGGGGTAGGTATGAGCCTGTGCAGGCGGCTCTCTGAGATCCTGCCGTGAAGAGGCGCAGGGACGTGATGGGGGCGGGGGTGGGCCTGGTGCACAGGGGCCAGTGCAGGCTGCTCTGAGATGGGGAGACCTGGCCTGGGCCTTCCCCGGTTCCTCGGGGACCCGGGCCGCCTTCCCCTCTGGGGCTGTCATGGCCTCAGCCCGTGGCCTCCAAGACAGCAGGGTGCTGCCCGGGGCGTGGTACCTGAGCTTTGGCCCTGGGTGAGTCTGGGACTCGCTCCCGTGGACCGTGGCCCGGGGCTCAGTCCTCTGAGCCTGCTTGTCACCGCCCCATGACCAGGTGAGATCACACGGGGAAACGCTTGTCAGCCGCCAGACGGCAGGTAAATACCGTTGTGTCTTGATGACCCTGGGCCGTCCCAGTTCCGGAGAGCAGAGGCCGTGGCAGGCCCCGTGGGGCCCGCCTGGAGCCTTCGTCCGACCCCCCCGTTAGCTCTGCTGTGGGGGCTCGTGGGGGCCTGCGAGGGTTGCCTGCTGAGGGCTCTGTCCCCATCTGGGGCCAGCCAGGCCGAGGGCAGCGGTGGGACCAGGCTCTCCCTCTTCTGCACCCGCTGGTCCCGGGGCGGGTGCCCCCCGCACTCTGGGGCCGCAGGTTTTCCCTGCAACTTGGGAGGACAGAGACGCTTAGAGGAGGCTGCCCGTGCGGTGAGGGTGGGTGCCCCCGGCTGCCTGACCGCTCACTCGCTCTCTTCTCAGGTGAACCCCCAGATGGTGCAACGCCGAAGTCCTGTCGAGCGCAGAGGCCACAGTCCTGCACATCGGTGGGGAGGTACTGAATCTGTCTGCTTCCTGTCTTATGGGAACAAACTGCATCCCTGGTAACCTCTGAGAGCGTGTCCTCCGATGTGTGGGACCCCCACAGCCTGGCCCTGCGGGCCCGGCCTGAGCCCCGTCTCCTGAGCCACCGTGGTGTCCCTCAAGGTTGGCGGCAGCACAGACGCCCCCGGGGGCGGGATTGCCGGTTCTCAGCCCTGATGTGCAGGTCTCCGGTCAGCCTGCCCAGCCTCCCCGGAGGTTCTGGGTGGAGCCGAGGTCCTGCAGGGTCTCAGGTGACTCCCGTGTGCCGCGGCTGAAGACTGCTGGCCTGGCTCAGACTCGGGTTTGGGTCCCGGGGCTGCCGCTGCCTGGTCAGCATCTCGTGCGGCTTAGGGAAGGTTGCTGGCCTCATTTCCTCGTCTGCCCAGTGGGCCTGGAGCCAGGCGAACAGTAAGAAAACGCACAGGCACGCGTGCGCACCCACGACACACGCCCATGCACGCGTGCACGCTGGGGTCCTCCACACAGAGGGCGTCCCCCCGAGGGGGCAGGCAGCGCCGTCCACGCACCTGCCCTCCCCAGCTCTGAGTGCTGTCGCAGAGGAGGGACCCGGCCCCTCAGTCCTGTGTCCGTCAGCTGGGGGTGGGGTGCAGTGAGGTCCCCCGACCCTCAGGCACGCCACACCCGGGGCAGGGGCCTGGTGCCAGTGCCGTGAGCAGGGTGGGGGTGCGGCCTCGGACCCCGCGGGGTGGGAGGGGCGGCATGAGCCCTGGGGCCAGGGCCCTCCTCCCGGCTCTCCGGGGCTCTGGGCCTGCCTCCGCTTGTGCATGAACTTGGCAGGCACTTCCTGGGCTTGGGCCAGGCCTCCCCTCCCAGCACCAGCCACGCTGGGCCACCTCCCCACCACGCACGCGGGGTCAGAGTGAAACCAGAGCGGACAGCCGCTGGCCGCCTCCCTTGGTTTTCTTGCCAGGCCATAGGGAAGTATTCCCACTTGCCGGCGCTGCGCTGAAGGCCACGTTTGTATTTTTATTTTCGCTGGAGTCTGGTGCCACCAGTGCTCTCAGTGAAGGACGTGGGGCAGGTTTCAGAAGCTTGCAGGGAGCGGCGGCCTGGTCACAGCGCCTCCTGCCCACACCCCTGCGGCGACTCTGCCTTTCAGTCGGTGCTGATGCGAGTTTGCTTTTAGATTCTTCTTGAACACGCACATTGTCACTGATACATGGTGTGTGTCTCCCAGCCTCCCATGGGCTCCTGTTGGTGGGAGGTCTTAGACTTGTTTATCCTAAGATAGCAGTTTATTTTCTGCAGCCTCTCTTTATCGGCAGCAACGAGACAAAGCAGCAGTGAGGCAAGGTTGGTAGGCAGCGGAAGTCACAGTCGTCAGGATGGGAAGGGGAGACACGTGGGGAAGCTGGCGCCCGGCTCACTCTCCTGTGCTCGCCCCGGGTCCAGGGCCTTAGACTCCGAGCAGGCGCGCCCCGGGAAGCTGCGTGATCCCGCCGGCCCACCCTGGGCCTGGACTCCCTTGTGGAAACAGGAATGCTGTCAAGAGCGGCCTCAGAGCGCCCCGCGAACTCCCACAAAATGTCTCCTGGCTCCGCCCCTAATGTGCAGCCGAGCCAGATCAGAACCTCAGATGGGCCCACGGAGGAGCCACAGCCCACCGCAGGGCCCCAGGGGCTGGTGCCCGTGCCGCGTGCCCCCCACCACCTGGGGCTGCAGCGGGCTTCACTGGCCTGAGCCTGTCACAGTAAAGCCACAGGTGTTCCACTGTTGGTGTGCGGCTGAGTGTTTAGCTTTTGTTTTGGCTCATCTCTGCTGAAGGCTTTCTTCTCTCCAGGGTGGCCCACAGCACTCCCGTGAGGTGGTCCTCAGCCACACAGAGCCTGGTCAGCAGCATGAGGACCCCCGTGAGCACGAGGCGCCTGCCTGCACCTGCCGGCCGCCGGCTCTCCAGCCTCCCTCTGGCAACCCCCACGCCCAGGCCCAGGCCTCTGGCTTCTCCCCTGCCTGCGTCTGCTCTGCGACTCTCTTCTGAGCCCCAGAAAAAATCCACAGTGAGGTAAGAGGTAAAGGCTGCAGTCCATTCACCTCCAATTCCTAAAACCTCAAGTGACGGTGTGATGGGGGGTCCGCTGTCCACCAGGTGCTGCTTCCGCTCCTGCCGCGGTCCTCCCGAGTCACAGGCAGACGAGAGCGCCATGTGGAGCCTCCTGATGGATGCCCTTTTCTCTCTGCAGAACTGCGCCCGCCAGGGAGGGCGACGGCCAGCCTGCCTTCAGGCGCCCTGACTCGTCCCCTGACGGGAGCTGCTCGCCTCCGTCTGCTGTGCCGCAGGCACTGGACTTTTCTCCAGAAAAGAGTGATTTTACTTTTTCACAAAGTATCACCGCAGAAGTCGCCCTGGACGAAGCGCAGCCCCCTGAAGCCACAGCCCCCAGTGAGGTGAGGGGTGCAGGCAGGGCTGACAAGTGCGTTCCTGGGTCCCACAGGTGACCGAGGACATCACCTGTGGCCTGGGGCCTGTGGTGTCAGCTGGGCCACGGCTGGGAGACGGGAGGAGACAGAAGCTGCACAGGAGGGGTGGGAAGTCAGGACGGGGCTCACGGGAGGGGCGGGAAGTCAGGACGGGGCTCACGGGAGGGGCGGGAAGTCAGGACGGGGCTCACGGGAGGGGCGGGAAGTCAGGACGGGGTTCACGGGAGGGGTGGGAAGTCAGGACGGGGTTCACGGGAGGGGTGGGAAGCAGGGACGGGGTTCACAGGAGGGGTGGGAAGTCAGGACGGGGTTCACGGGAGGGGTGGGAAGCAGGGACGGGGTTCACAGGAGGGGTGGGAAGCAGGGACGGGGGTTCACGGGAAGGGTGGGAAGTCAGGACAGGGTTCATGGGAGGGGTGGGAAGCAGGGATGGGGGTTCACAGGGGAGGGGCCTCCCATGGTGGCCACTGGCAGGAGGGGGTGATGGGGTGGAGGCAGCAGGAGGGGATTCCTCGGTGCTCACACACCACAGCCCGGCCCACTAGGGCCGTCCCAGCCTCCTTCCTTAGGCCTACAGACTGGCAGCCCCTGGCGCCTAGGCAGAACCCACCTGCTTTCCCCAGACAGCTGATAAAAGATGCTGGGATGGCCTTTCAGTCTAGTTTCTTGTCCAGGCTCTCCTCGTGGATGTCAAACTGGATCAACTCAACCTCACCGTGGAGGCTGTGGCCACAGCCCTGGATGACCGCCCGCTCATCGACTTCTGCAGGAGCCCCAAGGCGGTTGTGGCCCTGCCGTCTGGAAGTGGGCCCCTGGTCGACCTCCTGACAAACACCCCAGAGGCGCACAGGAAGGCCGTGGCCAAGCCCCCCGACGAGGTGGGACAGGTGAGCTGTAGCAGGGCCTGCTGGCTCTGGCCTTGGTTGGTCTCTGTTGGGTTTGATGCTCAGGCACGTCATGGTGACCCAGAAGACTGGCCACTGCGGCTTCTGAGGGCCACGTGGCTCAGCTCGCCTCAGCCTCAGCAGTGTGAGTGCCAAGGAGGCGCCTCACCTGGAGCTCTTCCGGGGCCACGGCCCCCAGCGCTTATTAACAGGAGCAGAAATGCCAGAGGAGCTCAGAGTTCTTCTGGGCGTGCCGCTTTCTCCCTCCAGCTGCTTAAACATGGTGGTCAGGGTGCCTTTCCACTAGGCCCGAGCCAAGTTCACCCAGTAGTTTGGCCAGACCAGGGGGAGCTGGCCGCAGGCAGCCCTGGCTTCAGAAAGCCAGTCCTTCGGGGTCTGCGGGCCAGGAAGGGGGCTGCGGCCGTCCCACTCACCCGTGTGGTTTTCTCCCGCAGCTCATAGACTTGGCTTCCCCTCTGATCCTGCTGAGTCCCGGCGCTGACAAGGAGAACGTGGGGTCTCCGCTCCTCAAGTTCTGAGTGCAGTGAAGCTCTTTGCACTTTACTCAGTTGCAGCAACAGTCCTAAAGTGGTACTCGACTGTCAGAGATAAGTTTTAGAAGAATTTGTGTTGGAAAAGTTGTAAAACGAAACAAAAACCTAAGTGAAGTTACCGTGCCTGGAGCGGGCCATGGTATCAGGGGGCGGTGTTTGGCCACCTAAGGTCACTGCAGGCCAATGGCCTCCATCCTCCTGGCCCCGCCCCTGTCCTGGGTGCAGACTGAAAAATGGGTACGTTCTGGATGAGTCTGGATTGTTTGCATATAAAATAGCAAGTGACCATCTTTAAAGTTAAGATTGTATGAAAAGTTAAATATTCTAGTTTAAGTTAAATGGTAAAAGTAAATGAAAATGGATTAAACCACCTCTTGATGTTTAAGATTATCCTAATTTTCAAAGACAGATGGCTGTTTTTATTACTGATCAGTATGCACAATGTATATTATTTGAAATGTTAATTCTTTCTACCAAACTGATTTTCACAATTTAGCATGAGGAAAAATTGGTTAAGTGCAGACCCCAGGCCCCAGCCCCCAGGTCCGGGGCAGCCTAGTCATCTGCACGTCAGTGGGCAGCCAGGTGGTCCCGATGTGATGGTCCAGAGACCGCACCTGAGGGGAGGGGAGGTGTGCGGGGGCGGGATGGAGGGGAGCACGGGGGAGGAGGGATGCTGGGATGATGGGTGGTGTGCGGGGGACAACTCCCGGGGTGCTGGAGCAAGAGCGCTCCTTGTGGAGGGGGCGGGGCCCCTGGGAGGCGCACTCATGGCCTGCAGCTGTTCTGACTTGATCTTCCTTGAAAACGAGCGGGCCTGAAAGCCGCTAGTCTGTCCAGATAATCTCTCAGTCTCTGCGGTGGCCCCACAGCAAACAGTAGGAATGCTGCTAAGTGGACTCACTCTGGGGCTCCCATCCAGGGCTCCCCGCACAGAGCCAGGCAGCCCCTGACCCCCCTGGGGGTGACCCGCTTCCGTGTCATCCTTTGGAAGGGCGACCCCAGTGGATCAAGAGTAAAAAGTGCGTCCTGGGTGGCACTGCAGCACCTGCAGGTAGAGCGCCACAGGTGAGGGAGGGGCTGCTCGGAAGGTGGGGTTCCTACCTGGGGTCGGCTGTCCCTGGAACCAGCAGCTACCTGGGAGGGCGGCCCCCCTGCATTCTGGCCTAGAGCAGCCCTCGCCCCGGGAGCTCCCCCAGGCCAGTGGAGCCGAGCCCATGGGAGTCATGGCGGTCCGCTCCTCCGCCCTTGTCTCCATTCCGGTGGCCAGTGTGGTGTTAATCTACCACTGGGGTCCTTTGATGTCTGGTCTGGCTCCTCATTTCACAGGGGAAAACAAAAATCTGGGGTTGAATCCGTTCACTGAATATTTACGGAGATTCTCCTGTGGGCAGGGGTCACGGGTGCAAAGCTCGCACATGGCTGTCTTCTGGGGGCGTGGAGGGGGCGGGAAGGAGGGGCTCTGGCCGTCCCGCCTGCAGCCGAGGGGTGAGCTGGGCCCTGGCCCCTGTCTGCCCCCCCAGGCTCCTTGGAGCGGCCACGCTCTCCTGTGGGCCACAGTGCCATGTGCAGTCTACAAGTGTCCCCAGGCAGGACAGAAGTAACCTGATCTGAAGTCTTCAGACAGTTGGCAGGAGGCCCCAGAGTGCACAGTGGGTAAAGCAGTGCCTGCCACCCCACACGGGTGTCACCGCCTTCCCTTCCTGCCTGGTTTCTGTCTAGCTGGTCCCACAAAGCACCATTCCTCTCTGGCTCCCAGGTCTTAGGCCCACCACTGGAAGGGAGACCAAGGGGGCGGAAGGGGCTGCCCTTTCCTCGGTACCTGGGGGTGAACAACCTCGGCTGCTGCCAGCGGGCCACCTTTCCAGCTCCAGAGGCCCAACTTCACGTGATCCTCACGCTCCATTAATTCTCAGGTGCAAATGCTTTCACGTTTCACAGCTGACGTCCACACAGCTCACACTGCAGTAGTCGGGGCATTTGGGATGTCATTGTCGTTTACACGACCGGTCCATCGTGCACCTGGGTTAGGCAGTGATTAAGGATTTGGAGCTACTAAGTAGCTAACGGCTGTTGTTCAGTTGCACAGTCGTGTCCTACTCGTTGCAACCCCACGTAGCTAATACCATCTAACTGAGAAGGAGCAGAAAAGACGTTGCCAAGGTGTTATGCTTCCGCCACCTTGGGGTGGGCGGCAGCTCTCCTAACCCCAAGGCCGTGTGCTGGGCATGATACTGGACTCTGCCTCAGGCAGGCGGGTCCCCCAGACAGAGCCCAAAGTCCAGTGACATCAGCTGGGCCACCCCACAGTCTCAGCTAAATGTTCACCCTGAAATCCTCTGAAGGCCAGGTGTCATCTCTCCCAGGAAATGCAAGATGCCATTGCCCCCTGGTAGGATGTTTGCTGACACCTTAGTCTTCTGAAATGCAGTCCTTTTTCTGTTTCCCTGCAGGGCCCCATGTCCTTCCCTCCAGACACGAGGCTCACCCCTCCTGCTGTTAGCACTCTCAGTTGGCAGTTCCTGCTTCTTGTCTCAGAAACGGGGACATGGGGCCTTCCTCAATTCACTCTAGACTCTTTTTTTTTTTTCTTCTTTATGTGGGATCCTAGTTCCCCAATCAGGGATCAAACCTGAGGCCCCTGCAGTGGAAGTGTAGAGACTTACCCACGGGACTGCCAGGGAATTCCTTCACTCAACTCTTTAAAACTACTCCTGTTCTCAAGAAAATGACTTGCCTTAAGAATTATCCACATTTAGACATTAATGTCCACTGTCAACCTTTTAAGAAACTAATGTGATTTTAATGCCAAGCTTTGGTGTGTGTTATTGACCTGATTTAAAAAATCATCAGCAGGACTTCCCTGGTGGCCCAGTGGTTAAGACTCCGAGCTTCCATTGCAGGCTGCGTGGGTTCCATCCCTGGTCGGGGACCTAAGACCCCACATGCCATGTGACCAGAAGTAAATAAACAAAAACCATCTGCATCTCTAATGCATTTCCTCCCCTACTTTTTTCATACCGTAGTTCAAGTTCTACCTGAAATCAGTTTTGTGAACTGCCCCAGCAGTCAATCTGAAAGTCGCTCAGTCGTGTTTGACTCTTTATGACCCCATGGACTTTACAGTCCATGAACTTCTCCAGGTCAGAATCCTGGAGTGGGCAGCCTTTCCCTTCTCCAGGGGATCTTCCCAACCCAGGGATCAAACCCAGGTCTCCCACATTGCAGGCGGATCACCTGCTGAGCCACCAGGGAAACCCTCACTTTTCCAGCAGTTTTAAACAGGAAAAATAAGATTTCCCTGGTGGTCCAGTGATTGAGAATTCGCCTGCTAGTTAGTGTAAGGGACATGAGTTCGATCCCTGTTTTGGGGAGATCCCACATGCTGCAGGGCAACTAAGCCCTGGTGTCCTAGAGCCTGTACTAGACTCGGGAAAACCACCGCAGTGGCAAGCCTGGGCACCACAACTAGAGAAAGCCAGTGCGCAGCAATGAAGACCCAGCACAGCCATAAATAAATAAGAACTTCAATTTGGAAAAAAAAAAAATCTACTGGCAACTCTGACCCCCTATCTCAATGACTGAGACTACTTCTCTGTTCCCCTTCAAAAACTCATAACTGAGTAGAATCTCCGGAAGTGGTTTATGGGGGACAGAGAGCCCACCACCTCCCCCAGATTGCTGGCATTGGACTAAAGACATTTTGCCTCTCTGCCATTGGTGAGTACTGATTTTGGAAGCAGAGAGCAGCAGGACCAGCACTGATAATGACGCCTGACCTAGCAGCCTCCCAACCAGGCTCTCAGCACCTGTCCACAGTGTAGCCACGAACATCTCCCTGGAACTGAACTGGGGTCGGCAGGTACCCTGCCCCTGCTGGGTCTGGCCCCACACTCTGTCCCCAGGCCCAGGGCCCTTTGCTCAGGGCTGGGCCCTCCGCCTGCTCATCCTCCCCTCCTGGTCAGCTAAGGGAAGGCCTGCACCCGCTTCCAGAAGCACCCAGCTTGACACCACGCCCGATGGGTGATCTCACACCATTCATTCAGCAGCCTGTTCACTGGGCACCTGCCTGAGTCACTGCTGACCAAAAAAAAGATGTACAACTTGAGAGTTGCAAGTTAAGTTCTATTTGGGGCACAATGAGGACTGCAGCCCAGGAGGCAGCATCTCAGAGAGCTCTGAGAGCCTGCTCTGAAGCGGCAGTGGGGGAAAGTCAATGTATAAGGTTTGGGTGAAGGGGGAGTTCAACACCATGAAGCACTCACTTTACAAAAGGGTTTTTCCTTAGTCATGAGAATCTGATGTCACCATGAAGGGATTTAGTGCTTCTCTAGATATGAGGAGATGCAAGGATGGAGAAAATCACAATCACAGAAAATTAGCCAATCTGATCACATGGACCACAGCCTTATCTAACTCAATGAAACTAGGCCATGCCATGTGGAGCCACCCAAGATGGATGGGTCATGGTGGAGAGTTCTGACAGAATGTGGTCCACTGGAGAAGGGAATGGCGAACCACTTCAGTATTCTTGCCTTGAGAACCCCATGAACAGTATGAAAAGGCCAAAAGATAGGACACTGAAAGATGAACTCCCCAGGTTGGTAGGTGCCCAAATTGCTACTGGAGATCAGTGGAGAAATAAGAAAGAATGAAGGGATGGAGCCAAAGCAAAAACAACACCCAGCTGTGGATGTGACTGGTGATAGAAGCAAGGTCCGAAGCTGTAAAGAGCAATACTGCATAGGAACCTGGAATGTTAGGTCCATGAATCAAGGCAAACTGGAAGTGGTCAAACAGGAGATGGCAAGAGTGAATGTCAACATTCTAGGAATCAGCAAACAAAAATGGACTGGAATGGGTGAATTTAACTCAGATGACCATTCTATCTACTACTGTGGGCAGGAACCCCTTAGAAGAAATGGAGTAGCCATCATAGTCAACAAAAGAGTCTGAAATGCAGGACTTGGGTGCAATCTCAAAATGATAGAATGATCTCTGTTTCCAAGGCTAACCATTCAATATCACGGTAATCCAAGCCTGTGCCCCAAACAGTAATGCTGAAGAAACTGAAGTTGAACTGTTCTGTGAAGACCTACAAGATCTTTTAGAACTAACACTCGAAAAAGATGTCCTTTTCATTATAGGGGACTGGAATGCAAAAGTAGAACATCAAGAAACACCTGGAGTAACAGGCAAATTTGGCCTTCGAGTACAGAATGAAGCAGGGCAAAGGCTAATAGAGTTGCCAAGGAAATGCACTGGTCATGGCAAACACCATCTTCCAACAACAGAAGACTCTACACATGGACATCACCAGATGGCCAACACTGAAATCAGATTGATTATGTTCTTTGCAGTCAAAGATGAAGAAGCTCTATACAGTCAGC